CCAAGTTTTTTTAATGATTATGTCCTTGTTATAGTAAAAACACATTTAAACACATTTTTAAAGTTTTCTGGATTTCTGCTTTAAATTATCGTACAACTGAACTGACTAATTGTGTGTTTAAGTAAAGGCATATCTCTTTTTTGTTATAACAGTCTTTGTATATTGTTCTAACTTTTTAGATAATCAGAGAAAACAGTAAGACATCTTAATATATCCTATTTAACCAACAAAAATGTAGAATAATTAATCTCACATCAAAGGAAAAAAGTCATTTTAGGATGTCCTAATAAGTTTTAACTTAAAAACTAAATAAAATGTGTATTGCAACTGTGTTTAAATAAATGAATGTTTTTATACCTGACTATAGCACCAGACAAACATTTTTTTAGATCATAATGATCTGCATAACTCAAAATATTCAAAATCCACATTAAGTTGTTTTAATATTGTTTTAGCATAACTATGTAAACTGCAATAATAAATATTCACATTTTTTTGGGACGTTTTTTAAGGAAATTAAAAAAAACATGAATAATGTAATATTCTTGTTTAGTTTTGTACTATATAATATAGTTCATTAGGTAGTGATTTAAAAGCAAATTATGTTCTATTTATAGAACAAAAAATCACTCATAATATCTAAATATTTATACCTATTTATATTTTGGACAGGAAGACTATTTTTTTTTTGGCTCTGAATAGTTTTCTTAAGAATTTTAAAACCTTCCTTAGATATTTTGGGATATTCCATGCATATCTTAGAAATTCATTTTGTTTAAACCTAAAACAAATTAAGTACAAAAAATGAAAATTTAAACAATAGACAAAATTAGTCTTTTAGATTAGTTAAAAAAAGTGTCAACAAAAAAATAGCTATGCCTTTTTCCTTAAACATTCTTTCTGAAAGAAACTTAAGTTTCTCTACTTACTTGCTGTTTTAGTATTTTAATAGCAGATAAATATAGTGTAGAAGTAGAGACAGGATTGATTATTATACTTCTTTCGTCGAAATTGCATTTTTCTTTAATACTTTCCACCCTTGATGTCTGTAATAAAAATGTTCATTGGCATAAAAAGTTATTCAGGTGGTCACTTGTTGAATTCCTAAATGTTGGAACCATGTATTTCTTTCTCATATCAAGAAAAGGAAACCTAAAAATAATAACAATAAACTTTACAAAGATGTGTTATTAAAATAATAATAAAAAGTAATTAACCTTTACTATAATCATTATGAGACGGATGAAGACGAACTTAGCTGGAGTTTACTTGCTCTTAATTTTAATTTTTCGATAAGAAAATAAGAAAGTTTAATTTCAAACTAAAGGTGATTGCCTAATACACCGCCTCTGATAATTAGGTTGTGTCTGTACTTACTTATGATATTATCTTGAAGAAGCATTTTCAACAGGCCTTTTACACATAAAGCATGTTTTCACCATATTATTAGAGATAATCAATCTTAAATATACATTTACAACCCTTACAACGTTATAAATAATAATATTTTCCGTAAAATACAAATAAGAAATTGACATGTGTCAGAAAGTGTCAGAACTGGCGCTGTCAAACTTGGGAACGCTGATTAAATAAGCCAATTACAGAAGAGGTATTTTCCCCCTCGGGGGGAGTAGATGTTGCTAACAAAATTTAACGCGGGGAAGGAGGGAAGACTCCCTCTAGTAGTAATTGCTCGAAGTTTCTATCATTATTAAAATAAATCTGAGGTAGATATTTGGGAATGGAGATTGAGAATAAACGAAATTAGCGAAATTAGTAAAATATTATTATAAACTGTCTATATGCTAATAAAAATGGATCCAACCGCCTGGTTTAATTGAGAGGCTGTAGTTCTGTATCTAATTGTGCCTCTTCAATATGTTTTATTAATTGTATAAGGACAAATTTCTCTATATCGTTCATTTTATAAAAAATTTACACTTATAAATACAATAACTATAAAGACTAGTCTTCATAACAATAACTAAGTAAAGTTAATGACATAATGACTAATGAAAATTAAAAAAAAAACTAGGAAGAATAATTATATTTTATATTAAAGTCTATTCAAATTTAATTTACGCCTCATGTAAACAGAAGCAGGTGGACGCTAAAACTGAGCAGGGTCGTATTTTACTTTTCCGTCTTGCAAAAATGTAAAATAAAAGAGTGTAATTGTGAAATTATTTTTTTATTACGATAAAAACATATTTTGTAAAGTAAACCTATAAAATAAATGCCATACACGGTCTCCCAGACTTTAGTGACATTACTGGACGAAGATAGGTGAGCGACATAAACTGCGTTAACCTGTAATACAAATTAATAAATGTATTTGACTTTAAAAGAGATGGTTGCATTATATTTAGTTCATTAAATATGCCTACTGTGATACAGAGCATTAAAACAATCATATTATAAAATTATATTGTACAGGGTGTCCAAATAATTGATAATTCTTTAATAGCTAATATATATCTACTAAAAGCATTAAAAAACTTTAAATATAAGAGGTATTTGGTATTTGAATTTAGTATTTGATTTAAAATTGTGCATCTTAAAAAGAAACCTTTTGTATTTTTGATAACTTTTGTTCTTTATTGTTCTTGTTCTACTAGTATTTAGATTAGACAACTTGTACCCTGTATTATAGCAATCTTCCTTACTTGACTTAGCACTATTCTGAATCGAGTAAATTAGTTAGATTTGAAAGGGTATCTTCATTATTCAAAATTACAAGTGGTTCTACCTGAACCTCTATAATATTATCCAACACCCACATTTTTACTTCAACTTTTTGGCGAACATGGTCGATACACTTTTTCCATTTTTCTGGAGAAATTAATAATATTACTTCTTCAAAAAGAATTTTAATGTCTCCAGATTTAATTGTTGAGTTTTTATCTGCTACGTATTATTTAACGTCAACCTAGATTAATTCAATAGGGTTAAGTTCACAATGATACGGAGACATGTGAAGTATTATGTTGTTTTGCTGCTTAGCCATTTCATCTATTACATGCCTATCATAATGTTGATGTTGCTTACCAAGTTTTGGAAGTTGGATCTTAAGCATTTGGTAGTCGAATTCAATTTTTTTCCCTTATAGCCTCTTTTAAATATCACCTTTTTTAGACGTCGTAGATATTTTTTCCAGCTTTCTCGAAAACCACACTTTGAACGATTCTCCACACATTTCTTCATGGTAGTCACCGGATTTTTCAACTCAAATACATAAGGTGCATTAGAGACAAAGCCTTCTTCACTTCCAAGATGGCATATAATGAGCTGTTTTTACGCACATACCTGATGGGTTTTTAAAACCAGTTAAAAGTTCATCCAAAAAGGCTTGTCTGGATTAAAAAACCGACATATCGAAACATACTTTTGATTTGGTGTGGCCTGCGTTAATCCAAGTCTCATCAAGATAATATATTTTTTGCTTTTCTTCTCTGTACCGTTTTATTTTTCGTGGCGTAGGACGAAACAATTTCATTTTTGTCTAAAAGCAAACTATTTTTTCCTCGAGTTTTAAATTTAAAATTAAGGGTTTTGAAAAGCTTGTAAAATGTATCTCGCTTAAAAGTAGACAAATATGGATCATCGTTGACTTCTTATAAAACCTTATCAATTGTTAAAAGTTAATTTCTAAAGAAGAATTGATGTACTTTGCGCCTTATTGCATTTTTATCAAAATCATCCACAGAGCCACTAATTTGTTTATAACGTAGCTTTCTTTTTGGTTCAGAAAATTTATGAATCTGCCTATACTCCTTCATAACATTAAAAACGGTTTTAGCGCACACCCCTGTTTTATCAGCAACTCTCTTTTCAACATCATATACCAACATATCAGGGTTCTATAAAATTTAATGCTTATAAATATTAAGAACCATTTCTTTAGTACGGATGACCAAATGTCCCTTTTTCAGTCGCTTTTTAGAAGGAGTAAAAACATTTTTCTGGACTTCATCTGCTGTATCTGTGGAGGACATAGTGTCACGTAGCAATTACAAAATATAGTCAATTAAATGTCCATAAAATAGAGTAAAACATGTTCAAACTAACAACCACAAAAACAAACAAAAATAAATACCACAATATATGTATTATGTATATCTAAACTATAATATAATGAATTATAATCAATCAAACATACAAAATGTCCAAACTAACCAACACGGTGAATGCTACCAAAACGCCGTTTATAATTATCCAAATTGAACTGAATTCAACTCTGACAAAAAATATTTGCGCGTCGTCTAAATGACCGATTAACCAATAGAAGCGCAAAAAAATGTCACATGAGCTGTTGCTGGATGGAAGAAATTGTTTTGACGCGGCGTAAATGAAATCTGAATAGACTTTAGATCTATGTGACAGTGACAAGTAAGATGCTTGGATACCCATAGTTACCGCATGCGAGATAAGGTTTTCGAATGGTCAAGACCGTTCGTTGCAAATCATTCGCCAAGCGACGCATGCAGGATCACTCGCATACGGCAAAGGTTTTCAAGAATACCATATGCCACATGATGACGAATGCCGTCAGGAATTAGGCCCCAGATAAAGCCATGATAGGCCGCGAACCTTATTGTGAAGTTCCTGAGGCAGCGTGCAAGGCATTCATCAAACAATGAATGCAAAAGTATTTCGGGAATAATGAATTACCTATCCAGGATTGAGACGTTTCCCAATTTTATGGAACATCTACTGGATACTGTTACTTAAAAATGCACATAAGTGTCATCAATCTATCAAACGAAGTAACATTGTGCATCTATGAAGAAGAAGAGGAAACATTATTAATCATGACTCATACTAGTATGAAGACTTGGATACATTGAGGTTCTAACATGAAAAAGACATTGTCTAAGCTATTAAGCCTAAAAGATGGCGGTAAACAAAGACACATGTCCAACTCTTGTATAATAATTTAATGCCCATAGTTTATAGGTGACCTTGGTTTATTAAATAAAAAACTCTTTTTAATTTACTAGAACACGTCTACTATCTTCAAATCCAAGCAGCTTTACCCTCAAAATCATCTTAGAAACTTAGCGAGAAAAAACTGCCAATCTGACTACGTGTTTTTGACAGACATCGATATAATACCTTGCAAGGGCATGTCTGAAGATTTAAATACATTTCTAGCTAAAGAAAGGTGCCAAGGAAAATGTGCTTACGTAGTGGCAGCTTACGAATTAGATGACAAAGTGACTTTTCCTCAAAATAAGAGCGTTTTGGTGAAAATGGCAAAGAAAGGCTTGGCGAGACCATTTCATCAAAAGGTTTATAGTTTAAACCAGAAAGCGACAGATTTTAAGAGGTACGTTTTAATAAGGTAAAGATTTGTAACCGTTTGTTCTGTTTCTTATAAAAAAGAAAATGCAACTCATATAGGTATTGATTGCAATTTTATTTTATAATTTTCTTGCAGATGGCAAAACACTAAAGATAAGTCAACAAAGGTGCAAGTGAGCCACCAAGTCAATAGGAAGTTTTTACGTTTTTATGAACCATTTTATATAGCTTCAGATGTAGTACCTCAACATGACGAGAGGTTTATAGGTTATGGGTACACTCGAAATTCACAGGTAGGTGCGTTCACTTCGACATTTTATGTGTCGGTTTGTTCGTTGGCTTGGTTTTGTATAACAAAAAAAAACTTCGACACAAGCTGATTGGTCTATTCTCGATGACGTATAATTTCAAATTTTAAATTTCAATTGGGCTTAATTTAAAAACTTTTGGCTTTTTTAACGAACTGATTATTTAGACTAACTTGTATAGCGACCAACTATTACAATATAATTTATGAAACAGCATATCTCACATGTGAACATGGCCCATTTACTTTTTACCCTTATTGGCTCCTATAGAAGTGTGGCTGACATTTTCCGAAATAATCTTGTTATTTCTTCTTTTCCATTTTAATATTTACTATAGATCATTTAGTCATGTCAACAAATTCAAAATAAACTTTATTATCAAGTTTAATAATTGGTCAATAGATTTCCCTACACTGAGAACGATTTTTATGCCTAATAATTTATAGGATATTACCACTAAACTCTTATATATTTATTTAATGAGATTTATTTAAATATTCAATATGTCGATGGCTAAAAATACATATTATATGTCTAAAAATGACTTAATAATACAGTTTGTATTAGACCTTACCACAGGGGGGCTATTTTCAAACTTAAAATTTTCACGAGAATTGTTTCAACGTTTCTTTTGATTTATTATTACAGAATTCAATCTCTCCTAAGCATGTGAATTCTTACTGGCTTTTAAAATATGGTTTTTACGTTGACATATGACATTTCTCATGAAAATATCCCACCTGCTAAACCGTTTTAAATAGACGTACAATATTTAGGCAACATAGATTTCACTTTTCCTAAAAATGGATATATAATATTTTTCTTAACTATCGTTGTATGTTATTTTTTAAATATTTGGTTTAAGGTGCACGAGATGGTAGCAGCTGGTTACAAATTTTTGGTCCTTTCTCCGATATTTATCTGCCATTGGGGTCTTCAAAATTTTAGTTCTAGACCACGATGGAGGGAGATTGAAACTAAAATGAATGAACAGAAGTGGCGTAAATTCGTCAAAGAAATTTCAGTAAAATATCCTATTAAAAAAAAGAAGGGGAATTAAATCGGATATTTTTTCACAATTCATTATATTATAGATATGTAATATTATAGGCAAATAAAAATAATAAATGAAAATCTATCGATCTCAGTTTTAATATATATTTTTTATTTTTTTCCTGAAAAATAAAACTTAAAATTACTAAAATAAATCAATAATTGAGTTTTCACAGGTTTCCAGAGTAATAATAATAAAAAACGAATATTCAACATTTTTTATTTTTTATTTTTATCATTACCAAACTACAATAGTAGGTCGAGTATAATATCTTCTACGTGGAAAAAGAAATGGAACAAATCCTCCACCTCCAAATCCAGCAAATCCTCTGCCAAAGCCACCTCCAAATCCTCTACCTGGACCTCCGAGCCCACCAAATCCTCTTCCAAAACCACCTCCAAAGCCGCCTCCATATCCTCTTCCAAAACCACTTCCAAAGCCACCTCCAAATCCTCTTCCGATGCCACCTCCAAATCCTCTTCCACCTCCGCCGAATCCGCCTCCGCCAAAACCACCCCCTCTGCCTCCACCACCGCCTCTGGCGTTACAATTGTTGATGCTACCAAGCAACGATAAGAGGAAAAGTAATATTATCTGTAAAGTAAAGCGAAAATTAAAACTGAACTGCCGTTCACACTGTCAGACTTTGACAATTGACAGTGAAAGCAAAAATTGTTAACAATTTTTAAAATTTGGTTTTATTTAAAGACACTTTTTTATGAGTTTACCATAACTTACTATGTTATGTTGAGAATGGGGTGTTAATACACTGCGACCTAAAAGATCTATTGTGCCCCCTTCTGTCGCCATGCACTAAAAAAATGTCTCAATGCCTATAGCGACCCTTCCAATCCTATTTTCTCAAGGAATTGTAGGATTTAAATTGGTTTCAAGTTAGGTTAATCTCCCTCTTCTATTTGATATCCTCCTAGATATAGTGCCCTTTCATTCTGGAGTACTACACATTCAGTAAGGATGTGAATGGAGGTTTCGTCCTCCTTCTCACAGAATCTACACTCACTATCCTCTACTAGTTTCAGTTTACTTAGGTGTTCTTTTAGTCGGCAATGCCCGGTAAGGATCCCTGTTACAATACGTAGCCTGTTCATGCTCAGGCAGATGCAGGCTTCTGATCTTTTCTGGTTATATTCACCCAGAAGTATCTTGGCCTGTCTTAGCCCCAAGAGATTGTTCCAATTATCGGTTCTTCTACTGCCCAATTCTTTTTTAATCTCTCCTAATATTATGTTACTGCTGATACCGCAGAACGGCTCAGGTCCTACAAAGGGTGTTTGAGCCTCTTTCCTTGCAAGACTATCTGCAATCTCGTTACCCTGTACCCCGTTATGTATCGGGACCCAAGTGAGAGTAACTCTATTTTGCTCGCCTAGCTCATTCAATTGTTCTAGGCATCTCCAGACCATTTTTAATCTGATTACGTAAGAGCTCAGCGCTTTGATGGCTGCTTGACTATCGGACATGATGATAATCTCTTGTCTATGATGGTTTTTTCCGATGTTAAACTGGATACACTTCTTGATGGCGTGAATTTCCGCCTGGAAGATGCTTGGGTATTTTCCCAAGCTTTCGGAGTGCTTGGTTCTCGGCCCATACACTCCTATTCCAGTTCCTTCTATGGTTTTGGAACCGTCCGCATACCACTGAATGGCACGTCTTTTGGTTGCAAGCGCGATGGATTCTTGGCTCCATTCTTTCTTGCAGCCCAGCTCTGTGGTTTTGAAGTTTTTCACAAAACTGTACTTCTTTTGCATTTCATCCTGGGGCATGTCCCAGGTATCTTTAGTTCTGAAGCAAGTAGACTTTCGTCTGATTACTCCGTTCCTGATCATTCTATATCGTGTCCTTTTTGCCACATTCTCTATCATCAAATGTAGAGTGATGAGGTTTAAGATCACCTCCATTGCGGCCGTAGGACAGGTTCTCATTGCACCAGTAATGCAAACACAGGCCAGTCTTTGTACTTTTGAGATATTAGCTCGCGTAGTAGCTAGACTAGTTCTGTTACTCCAGGCTATAGCCCCGTAAGTGATGATTGGTCTCACTATTGCAGTATACATCCATCGCAGTATGTTTGGGTTACATCCCCATCGTTTACCTGCAATGTTTCTGCATACCATTAGGGCTTTTGTGGCCTTATTTACTACTTCCTTCTCATGTGTGTTCCAGAGAAATTTGTTGTCCAGGGTTAGGCCTAGATAACTTACTAGTACATACATTATTTTGTCGGAGCATTTCTTTTGTTTTGCTAACTTCAATGAAAGATGTAACTTTTTCTCACCATGGTATTGATATTTATATTAAAAAATATGAAGATAAAAATATAAGGAGTTAAATGTGCATTCATCGTTATTTAATCACAAATAACAATAAAAACCTTCCTTCTTTTTTTAGAGGAGGCATAATTTTAAATAAATTAAATCAAAACATTGTTAAGAGTGAGATTCGTAACAACATATTATTTCTTCCATTTTGTCGAATGTAGTGAGGCTATAAAAAAATGATTAAATATAATTTATTATACAATCTAATATCGATTTTATTATTTAACTCTTTACACAGTAGTCGTTGAAGAGTATTATAGGTTTACTTTTAAGAAACCAAAATTTTTAATATTCATCCAAATTTAAAAAAATGTGTACCCAAATCCTTCTCATCTTTAGTTATCGAGATATAGTCACTTTAAGTTTTTAAACTAACACTCTGTATAATAATTATCTTAATACGATTTAAAACTATTTAGATATTATAGTGGCCTGAAAAACAATTAAAAATATGCCGATAGACAAACGGGCCTTAAGAATTTTACAGTTGTATGTGGGAAACAGTTGGAAATCCGTCAACGGCACATCGAATAAATAAATTAAAAGGCAGTTAATTACAAATTTCAAACGGACAATGACGATCTTATAGTTGTATGTGAGATACAGTTAAAAACCATCAACGGTCCATCGAAAAATTAAAGTTAACGCGCAGTTAATTACAAAATGTCAAAAGAATTATACCGATTTTGCCGTTACAAGTTACTTTAACATCACATTCTTTAAAAGGTCAACAACTTGCCACAATTTCAATGTTTGTTGGAATACAATTTTATAAAAATTGAGTATTATAATGTAGATAACATATAAGTTAGAGTCAATAACCCTGAGTCGGCAACCTCGTAGATGAACCTTGGAACTGCTGACGATTATATTAGATAAGTTGTGTCAATCCACCTTGGGGGTAATTCCACCGGGTGTAGGGTATTTCCTCTCATTATATTCAGTATACAATCTGATATTGATATTAAAAGTTGTAATTTAAATTAAATAAATCTTTTTAAAAAACTAAATACAGAGTGTACTTAGTTAAGTGGCGCAGTCAAGAGGATGGTCAAACGGTTTTAGTGCACATAATTCCTGGTTCGTTTCTATGATTTTTTGACCATTTTGAACTTTGAAACGTGTTTAAGAAGTTTTCCAGTTGGGTGAATTGAGTAGCCTAACGTGAAGAACGCTATTCTAGTTAAGAAAGACATTCAAGTAAACATTGAAGAGTCTACCCGGTCCAGTCCTTGGTTGATGGCGGAATTCGAATAGATGGAGTGAAAACTACTTTTAGTGTAAGTGTTTTATATGTCGTTTAGAGAGCAACCTTTAATTATCAATTCTGAAAGTTCAGACAATTCTGATTCAGATACAGATTCTGACTCAATTTTAAACAAAACAAATTAAGACATTTCAAATATTTTAACTTCAAATAATAAATTTAAAATGGCTCTAACAATTCCAGAATTAATAGATAAATATTTAGATATGATCCCAGGTTTCTATGGTGATCCCGCCTTGCTTCCTAGATTTATATAAGTAAGCGAAAAATTAGTTAGGAAATTTTATAATACTGTAGATATAAACGATTTTCAAAATGAGTATTTAGTGTCTAGTATTTTAGCGAAAGTAAAAGGAGAAGCTGCCAAAAATATATCGTCTTGTACGATAAGAAATTGGGAAAATTGAAAAGCTGCTTTATTGAATACATATGCAGATAAAAGAGATATTTATACCTTAAGCTTAGAAATTTCAGCATTACAACAGCAACAGCAACTTTTAAATCTACAAATAACCTTATTAATGACTTGTTCTAACGAAAATGAACTAAATGTTTTGAGAAATTAATTTAGAAATCAGGCTCTCAGAATATTGTTACGCGGACTAAAGGAACCATTAGGTACATTAATGCGAACAAAAACCCTTTAGATTTAAATTCTGCTTTGAATACATTAACGAATAATTTTCAAATTGAAATGGGACCTTATAATAATAGTAATTATATTCCAAGATATAAAAATATTATTCATATTTACCAAAATAATCATTTACTTAGAAATAGACAAAATTTTCAAAATAATCAATCAATAAACTGGTAACCAGAAATGCCAAGTTCATCTCAAAATTATCAACAGTTAAATAGAAATGTAGGTTTAGTGCAAGTAGAGGTCCAAATACGAATGTTTTCCAGTAATCCCCTTTACTTCATCTGGGGAAGGCGCGTTTGAATGTTGACGAAACTAGTACCAAGTTGTGCTACCAGGGTTTTTAACCTCACTATTAGTTGTTTACTTTTTAGTTTTTCGCACACGTGTCAGCCAGGTTTGTAAAAACAGCTCCTTGAGGGCAGTTACACCCCCATAATGGAGCCCGAAGGGGCATCCAACTTCCAGATAGACTCTAAACCACCCCAAGAGCCTACAGAAATGACATTTTCAAGAAGAGCAAGAGAAAAGCTCGAAAAAGAGCGCAGAGCGCAATCAATAGACACTAGCCGCAGGTCCTCGGCTTCATCAACAAGCCCTAGAAGCCCAATCACCCTTTAACTCAAAAGGAGTATACACCATCCCTATAGACATGTAAGTACCCCTAAACCTAAGGAGTCACACAGATCATCAAATAGTGACAGAAGAGACTCCCGAGAGAGGTCCCATAAATCGGGGGAAAAAACAAAAAAGGGCTAAAAATCTCAGTTCTAGCAGAGACAGGGGGGAAACGGAAGCAAATAGGGCCGA